TTCCTGGGCTGTGTTACTTTTGCTTGTGGAATTTCTTTTCATTTCTTCTGTTATTATAGATTTTGTGTTTATGGAGTTTTCTATGTTTTTCTTCTTTTTTATTTTGATGAGTAGGTTTGTTAACTATCTTTGTGGTTACGTTGAAATTAACACTTATCTTCCTCAGTTTAAACCTGTCATTTATTAATTGATATCTTCTCCATTTGAAAGTTCCATACCTACACCATTTATTCCCCCTTTTATTGTTTTGATGTTGTCATTTACAGAATGACCTCTGTTTCCCTGTTTTAAATCTTTCAGTTTTGCTTTATTATTGAGAGTTCTTTGCCTGGGTTGGTATCTGGCTGATGCTGTCCTGTGTCCTGGCCTCAGGTTGTGGTCTGATGTTGTTGGTTCTCTAACCGAAGGGCTCCCTTTAGTATTTCTTGTAAGTTTGGTTTAATTTTTACAGATTCTCTCTATTTTGTTGATCTGGAAATGTACTAATTTCTCCATCGTATTTGAGAGTTTTGCAGGATATGTTATTCTTGGTTGGCAGTTTTTTTTCCTTCAGTGTTTCATATATGTTATCCCATTGCCTTCTTGCCTGCATGGTTTCTGCTGAGTAATCAGAGCTTAGTCTTACTGCTTCCCCTTTGTAAATGATTTTTCTTTTTTTTGAACTGCTCTCAGGATTCTTTGTTTGTCTTTGGTTTTGGCAAGTGTGATTATGATGTCTTGGTAACTTTCTTTTGGGGTCTATCCTATATGGGGTTCGTTGAGCTTCTGGGATAATTAGCTTTTCGTCTTTCATTTAACAATCCCGTTTTCCATTTTCTCCACCTGTTCTAGAACTCCAGTCGCATGCAGATTTTTGTTCTTGATTGTGTCCTACATGATTCTTAGGTTTTCTTCATTTTTTTTCACTGATATTTCCTCAGACAAAGTGGCACCTGTGAATTTGTCTTCAGTATCCTTGATTCTGTCTTCCATTGTTTCAGATTTGCTCCTAAAATCTTAAAGTTGTCTGTTTCTGAAATTTTGTTGTTTATCTTTTGGATTTCTAGTTGCTGTTTTTGTATGATTTCTGGTTTATTTATTTTGATGTTTTGTTTTTGTATTATTTTCCTGATTTCTTCTGTTGCTTTGTCCGTGTATTCCTTGATTTTGGCTATGTTTTCATTGGTTTTGCCTGTGTTTTCCACGATTTTGTCTATTTTTTCCCTCAGTTTTGTCTGTGTTTTTTTAAATCTCTTTTCTAATCTCTTGGAGTGCCCTAAATATTAGTCTTTTGCAGTCCATATCAGGTAGTTCCACTGCCTTTTCTTCTACCGGAAGGTCATCTGATTTCTTTATTTTGGTCACGTGTTGGAGCCATCTTGTCCTGCTTTTTTATATGTTTTTGTATTGTCTGCTGTCTCTGAGACATTCAGATATTTTCTTTATTTATTGATTTTATGTTTGTTTGTTTCATCCTGCTTATTTGTTTTATTTTGGTATGTCTGGGCAGGCGAACTGGACATGCTTTGTTGCTTGCTTGTCTGTGGGCACAATAGTTCTCACTGCCTGGTCCAGATTGTCAGGGCAGGTTGCTCAGCTGTGATGCCGCGGGGCAGGGCTGTCGTGTAGGGAGGGCATGGGACCGGGACACTCAGCTGGGGGGCATTTGTACAGGGCCGGCGGGAAGGGACGGATACAGGGCAGGGTTGCTCAACTGTGGTGCAACAGGATTGGGGGGAGGGGTGCAAGGCCAGGTCACTCAACTGCAGTGCAGTAGGGTGGAGCTGGTGAGGGGACGGCACAGGGCTGGGTTGCTCAGCTGTGGTGCAGCAGGGCAGAGCAGGTTGGGAGGGAAAGGTGCGGGGCCGGGTTCTCAGTTGCGAGGCAGTGGGGCAGTAGGGGCAGGGAGCTAGGTTGCTCAGCTATGGCTCAGTGTGGGGGACTCAATGGGGAGGGAGGGACACAGGGCCTGGTTGCTGGGTTGCGGTGCAGCAGGGCAGAACACACAGGGAGAGAGAGGCATGGGTTCGGACGCTCAGCTGAGGGACAGTGGGGCAGAGCTGGTGGTGAGGGAGGGGTGCAGGGCCAGGTTGCTCAGCTTTGGGGCAGCAGGACAGAGTGGCGAGGGAGAAGACTCGGGCATGGAGCTGGGTCACCCACCTTCCACCTTCAACGCAGTGGTGTGGAGCCAGTGTGGACGGAGGGGGCACAGGTTGGGTCATCCGGCTGCAGGGCAGTGGGGCAGAGCTGGCAGGGAGGCAGGGCATGGGCTGGGGTGCTCGGCTGTGGGACAGCAGGGTGGAGCTGGCAGATGGGGGGGCACAGGCTGGGACACTCAGCTGTGGGGCAGCGAGGTGGAGCTGTTGGCGGGTGGGGTGTGGGCATGGAGCTGGGTCTGTTGGCTGTGGTGCAGCGGCTCGGAGTTAGTGGGGAGGGAGGGGGTATGGATCCAGGCCTCTCTGCTGTGAGACAGCTGGGCTGGCCAGCAGGAAGGGAGGTGTGTGCAACCGGGTCATTTAGCTGCAGTACAGCGGCGTGTGGCTGGTGGGATGAGTGAGCCGGGAGCGGGGGCGGAAAGGGGGTGGACGGGTCTAGATGGAGGGGCAGATGGGGGGGTTTGCAGTCTGGTTTTCAGCAGTCAGGGCTGCCGGGGTGGGGTGATGCTTGCCACTACTCACCAGAAGGGTGGGGGTTGTAGGAGTACACTCCTCTGGTTACGTGTGAGTGTCTAGGCCCTTCCTTGAGCTGCTGCCAGCAGGCGAGACCTTACTTTGCTCTGGGTGTGTCCACGCTGTCGTCTGTCTGCTGTTGGGAATCCTCTGAAGGTGCCTTTCTGTGCTCTTTGTGTGGAGATTTTGGCTGTATCTCAAGATGGCTGTGCTGTGCCGTGCCGTGCCGTGCCGTGCTGGTAGGCAGGGAACCTCCACTCCGTATCTCTATTTGTTTGCTGTTTTCGATCAGTTTTCTTCTTCTCAGTGGCTTCCAGTCTAATACTTTAGCCTTTCGTGTAAAGTTCAGGGTTCCGGGATTGATGTCTGTTATCTGTTCTACTTTGTTGCAGCGGGATGGCTTGGTGTGCCTGACTGGTCCACCATCTTGGCTCTGCCCGACTGGTTTGTTTTAAGTGATGATATTCTGAATGTGTGAATCCGTTGCTATGTATATGGTGTTGTTTCTTAGTGAAAGAGCCAAGTGAGGTTGCTGAAAATTATTAAGGACTGAGTATTAGAAAATCAAATTGTTTTTACTATTGACCCTTTAATATAATACAGTGAAACGTGTGAGAGCTGGAACTCAGTGGGACGGTGTTGCTTGTTATTCTGGGTCTCGCAACTTTTCTGCCTTTGACAGGATGCAGTGTGAACCACTTTTCTGTTGCTCTCTATTAGTGGAAAATATTTGAGTTTTCCTTCTCTGACAGATTCTGCCTTACACGGGTTCCAGCTTTTGCAGGTTTTACCGTATAATATAATGTCATTTCACAGACATTTCCTCCCCAAGATAAAATCATACTTGAGATGACCATAAACATTTTTTCATCAGGCTCGTAGATGAAGGTTTTAGCTTCCTGAAAATAAACATTCCTGGGATTACTCTAGTTTCACCATTGTGAAATGAAATGGGGCAGGTGTCAGGGGTTGGGGACCTTGGAGGAATCTGTCCCTTTTTCTGCTCCAGCTTTGCATGTTTCTGGTCTTTCTCACTTTACTGGTTTTCTAATAAATAGAAGACCTGCCTCTTTATATCACTACCCCTCACATGTTTACCTCGAGTTAAGGAAAGAGCCCAGATTTACTGGAACAATGACTATTGTCTTTGCTGTTTCTCAACCCTGAGCGACTTGGCTATAAATCACTGTGTAAAGCAGGTTGTTAGAGCAGAGATAACAGCTGGGAGCAGGAGTGGCTCCAATTCTGAGGCTTCATGTTCACTTGCTGAGCTAACCCTCTTAGGGGAACCGGTATCAAGGACCCTGCCTCGACAGAGGACCCTAGAGGTGGCCCATCCCCTGAAATGTTCTTGGCTCTATCTTTAGCTGGACCTCGAAGTCAGAACTTAGAGCGCTGTACAGAAAGACGCTTCTCCCACAGCGCTGACAGGGTTTGCTGAGTTCTTCTGGCAGCAGCTGGCTGGGAAAAAAGTCTCTTTTACCTCCTGCCTGGACTCTTTTTCAAGAAGCTACTTTGTCATCAGGCAATTTAGATGCAGGTGTTCAAGTGAGCAGTGGAGTGTCTTGTTAAAAATTATTTCATAAAGTGAGAATATGTTTTTAGGTTTTTGTATTTTGGTAAACATTACTTGTAATATGAAGATCTGAATTTATTATCTGGGGTGGCTCACTGAAATGCCGAAAGTGATCTGCTAATTCCTTTGTCAGGAATTCCCCCAGTGTCTTAACGGACTTTGAGCCAGTGGCCATATTGTCCACTGTTTTAATAAGTATGTTCAAAATGTATGACCCCTCCCTCCTGCTGGTTGACACTAGGACACTAGAGAGAGACCAGCCTCTCAGATGGTTTTACTGTTTGTGGGCCCCAGATACAGTGGCAAATGATAGGGCTATGCAGGCCCGTGGATGTTTGAGAGGGAGAGGAGGCCAGGACAGTATGGAAGGATTCCAAGTTCCCATCTGGAAGATGGTGGTGTGTGCGTGCTACATTCCACACTTAGAGGTGACTCATGACTCATCTCTCACACACACACACACACACACACACACACACACACACACACACACACAAAATAGCCAGGGTGCTGCCATTGGTGGAGATCACCATTGGGAAACAGTCTCTAGAGCTGGCATGTCCTGAAGGGACAATCAAGAAGCACTTCTCCCAGCCTGGTGAAGGGTCTGCTCGCCACCTCAGTGAGTGGAGTCAGATGTGAGAGGGGGGCAGGGGCACCGCTGATCCTGTTCTGTGGAGAATGGCAAGGAGTATTCTTAGGGTCCTCTGTTTTGAATGATCTGCACTGCTGTCTCATGATATTTGATAAAACCGATCATTTGGATTTTTCTGCAGGAGTCTGAGGGGTTTGGTGATAGAATGTTCCTGAAGCAAAGAATGAACTTGCTGTCTCAGATGACTTCAACTCCCATTGACTGCTTGTTTAAGGTAAGACCGAGAAATCTCTGGGGCAAAGATGTGTGAGGGGCACTCCATTTTTTGGCACCTCGAGGGTCTCTCTAAAATTCACTGAAGTCCGTTTTGTACTCAAAGAGGGGGTGGTAGGAATGCTGTGGTTTTAAAGTTGGTTTTAACGTCTCCCGCACCTCCCCCGCTGTGCGCTGTGTGCTGTGCTATAGCTGTGCAGATGGTACACTGGTGAAGCTGCTGAGGCCGTGCTGCTGTGCCTTCTGCCTCAGCTGTCCTCAACCTGGGAAACACTTGTTCTTAAACGACCAGCTCGTGACGCCTCTGCCGGTAGCCCAGGCTGGGCTGATGCCTCTCTGCGACTTGAGGAACCCTGCATCTGGGTGTTTGTGTGTGCGTGCGCTGGGCACAGCACCAGACTCAGTGGTGTTTCGCCCAGCACCTGGGCAGCTTGGTGCACAGATATTGATCTGACTGCGGGGGCTAGATAAGGGCCTACCACTGAGGGGCGTGCTGATGCTTCCAGGCTCCTCAGATCCAGAGGGGCTTCCTGGGATGGCCCAGAGAGCCTCCCATGGGGAAGAATCTGACTCCCTGTGGGGAGTGCATCCAGGATCACAGGGGTGAACAGGATGAGCCCAGGGTGAGCCTGCAGGGCTGTTTGTGGATGAGGTCTCCCACTCATTGCAGCTCTTCTCCTCTTTTCCCTCACACTGAGGCTCTGTTAGAATATGAGGGATGGGGCAATGGCGACCTTTCCTGTGAGGAGTCAGAACCCACACTGAGGGTCAGAGATGTACTGCCCCTCTTCTCCTCTCACTAGGTGATTTTTGTCCGCATTGTTGTTAATTATGGAAAATTTCTAACATTTACAAAAATAAAGGGAGGAGCATAATGGAGGAACCCCAGTGTAGCCATCACCCAACTTCAGTAATCACCAACATGCAGCCAGTCTTGTAGCCAGTCTGCCCTCTCTCCCCACCTTCGGTATTATTTGAAGCAAATCCCAGAGAGCAAATCACTACTTGATAAATACTTAGATATGTGTTTCTTATGAGAACTCTCAGAAAATTCACACCTTAAAAATGAGTAATTCCTTACATATTGATAGTATTGTTGATGCCACTTTTTAGCACATTGCATCAGGTAACCAGAAAGAAGTAGAAAGACTTTTGAGCCAAGACGGCCATGATAAAGACGTCGTCCAAAAGATGTGTCACCCTCTGTGCTTCTGCGATGGCTGTGAGAAACTCGTCTCTGGGTAAGAGGCCCCCGTGGAGGCTCTGGGTAGCAGGGAGCAGGGACACGGGGCCTGGGCTCAGCTTCTCTACTTGCTTGCTGCATAATCATGAGTGAGGAGTTTATCCTTGCTGCGCCTCAGCTTCTTCTGCTGTAAAGTGGAGACAGCAACATCTTCCCTTTTTGCCTCTGGGGAATCAGCTGGAATAAAGGTTGTAAAAATAGTTGTATACGGCTGGGCTAGATATCCCGGTAGGCTGGTCTGGGACCTGCCCAGCGTTTCTTCAGGAGGAAGTGTACGGTTCGGAAGGGTGTTCAGAAAGTGAGCTTCAGTATGGGAGGACTGTCACCTTCTGCCAGGTAACATTTCTGGTTTCCCGTTGTCCTAGTGGCTGCAACAACGGGCCTACGCATAACAACGATTGTTAGGATGCAGGACCGGGCTGTGTTTCGTTCTGTTGTACGTAGGGTCGCTGGGAGTCAGCACCTACTCGACAGCACCTAACAACAACAACAGCATTGTCCTAGTCAGATTGTTTAGCTGAGTGTAGAGGTCTGAGGGGTCGGGCTGGCTGGTGGACACTGGAACTAGATGCCTCAGGCGCCTCGGCCCTGCGGGAGACCGAGCAGGAGCCCCAATGCTCGCCAGGACACTGTAGCAAAGACACAGCTTGGGTCCCATCCTGTGATCTGCCTTCTAGTCCCAGGACCTGGCATGTCCAGCCAGGCCAGGGAGAGGCTTCACCACGCCATTCCCGCTGTTGATTTTTCTGCGTCTTTGCTCTGTTTTAGGAGGCTGAATGATCCTTCAGTTGTCACTCCATTCTCGAGAGACGACAGGGGTCAGACACCACTCCACGTAGCTGCTGTCTGTGGTATGGACTCTTGTCGAGGGATAGGGATGGCGCCAAGGGTGCCCCAGCAGAGGGCTGGCAGACTTGGGATGGTGGCAGTTGGGATGGTGGAAGGGGCCGCGTCATGGGCCCACCCCTGAGGGGCTTCCCTGGAAGGAGGAAAATAAACAGATGTTCTGCAGACCGTGGTGGCCGACGTGCCCCTTCCTGCCTGGAAGAGCATGTACACGTGGCTCTTGCTGTGTAGACGCCTGCCTCCACCCGTGGCTGTCTGGGCCGGCGAGGAAAGGCTGGGATCCGAGCTATGAGAACAACCTCAGAATTGTCCGCTTGGGGTTCTTGTAGCCCTGCTTTTTAAAAACAACTCTATATTGTCTTTTTTTTTTAAAAAAATAATATTTTACTGTGTTTTTGATGAAGGTTTACACAGCAGTTTAGGTTCCCATTGAACAGTTTCTACACAAGTTGTTCAGTAACATTGCTTACATTCGTCACGGTGCATGGACATTCTCATTATTTCCATTCTGGGTGTTCCTTTTCTATTCACTTTTAAAGTGCACACTCAAGGTAGGAGACACAAACCTCCAGAGTTAACTTTGTTTTATGATTGTTTACAGTTTCCGCATGCTTGTGTGCTTATGTATCTAGAAAATAGATGATAATGTGGAGATCGTACTGTTCTGAACTGTGCTTGTTTCACTTGGCAATACAGAACATTTCTCCTTGTCAATGTGGTTTTTTCAATGGCTGCATACTGTTCCAGCCTATGAATTGCTGAGCCACGGAGTCTTCTGTAGATGTCTCAAGCTCTTTTCCATAACCTTTTGTTGCTGGGGTGGGGACTTGAGTTGGGTCTCCTCCAAGGGCCATCCCAGCATGTTCTGAGTCTGCAGAGCCTGTCATGACGTTAGCTCTGATTCCTCTCAAGCTTAAAACACCTCCTGGTGTGTTTCATGCCAGGTAATAATAAGGAGGGGGAGGAAGGAAATAATGGTGATGTTGCATATTTGGGGTTCAGAAAGCTGCTTCTCTTTCCTTCCCCGTAATGAAGTCCTTCTATTCTGTAGGGCAGGCATCCCTCATTGACCTCCTGGTTTCCAGAGGCGCAGTGGTGAACGCCACGGACTATCACGGGTCAACCCCGCTGCACCTCGCGTGTCAGAAGGGCTATCAGAGCGCGACGGTGAGCAGGGGGCGCCATCGCGTCACGCGAGCTGCGCAGACGACGTGACGCTTCCTTCCGGTTTCAGAGTTTTGCTGCTTGTCCTGTGCTGGAACCTCCAGCGTTCTGCCTCCTGTACTCCATGCCGGCTGTGCTGCAGCCGCCCATGACAGGCTGGGAGTCTGGGGCACCTCCCTGTGGGTTTACGGGACAAAGTCCTTAGGTTTCCATTGGAAAATGGTGGATAGTCGGGCGGAAGGGCCGGCGGGCTAAAGACTTTCTCGTTACTCTCTCAACTTTTTGTAAGGAAGGATGAGGGTAATATAATTTTAGTAGTCATATGAGTAAATCAGATTTAAAACGGAAACAGATCACCTCGCCTGTGTAAGACTCAGGGCCACGCCACCTGAGGAAGCCGGGTCTCTGCGCCGGTTTGCTGGTGCTCATCCGCCTTCCTGTCTCCGGCAGCTCCTGCTGTTACACTACAAAGCCAGCGCCGACGTGCAGGACAACAACGGCAACACTCCTCTGCACCTGGCCTGTGCGCACGGCCACGAAGACGTGAGTGGTCCCTGCTGTTCTGGGGGTGGCTGTGCTTACCCGCCACCGCTCGTGGAGGGACGGAAATGAGTAGTTAGTCTAATGTAGTGTTTGGTTTGGTGATTGGGACAGGTGGTATGCAGCTTTTTTTTTTTAATTTAAATTTTTAAAAATTTATTGCAGAAGCCATGTTGAAATGACAGCAGTCCAACGCTTAATTGTCCATTATCTTATCCTGAAATTAAATCATTTTCATTCCTCACTGCTACCATCTGGTTCTTACCTTTGTACATACACAGTTTTTACATTTTATATTTTTCTAGTAACGTTAAGGAATTTTGTTAACGTCTTACCATACGTGTTATTTTTTCCTAGCCATCTCCCCCTTCTCTCTCCATAGTGATAGACGGATAGGCTGATAATATATGTTGGTGTAAACTGGGTTAGGTAGTTCACGCACAAAAATGGGATCACACCTTGTACATTTTTATGCTACGTGCTTTCTTCACTTAACCTGTCATGGAAATCCTCTGGTCAGTCCGTGTAGATCTAGCGCTTCTTAACTAGCTGCACAAGAATCTGTCCTGTGGATTGTGTCAGGGTCCCCAGGACCACCCCCGGGTTCAGTGGCTCACTAGGGTAGCTCACGGGACTTAGCATATAGTTTGTATTTGTGGCTAAGATTCATTACAGTTAATGGTTACAAAACAGAATCAGCAAAGGGAAAAAGCACATGGGGTGAAGCTAGGAGAAAACCAGGTGCAAACTTCCGAGAGTCCTCTCCCAGAGGGTTACACAGGCCGCCTTTAATTCCTCCAGCAGTGAGGTGTAAGACCATGTGGGAAGCGCTGTCTGCCAGGGTAGCTTATTAGGGGCTCACTGCCCAAGGGTTTTATTGCAGTTGGTCACGTAGGCCTCCGCGTAGCACGTCCCCAAATTCCAGACTCCCAGAGGGAAAGCATGTGTTTAGCATAAACCACATTGTTGTACAAACCCTTCAGGCACCCTGAACCACCCTTATCAGTTCGGGAACTCCTGGAATCCAAGGTCCCAGCCAAGGGCCAGCCCTGGCTGCTGTGGTCACTGTTCTCACGTGGACACATCCCAGTTTTATCCAGCCATTTCTTTCTAGTTGGCAGTTGAGTGCTTTTGAAAAAGGCATGTGTCCTGATCAGGTGACCTGAAACCCCTGATGTCTAACTCTCTGTGACTGCACATTTGCTTAATGGGCGGAGGTTTGATGGAACAGGGACCTGCATGGAGGCTGTGGGGAGCAGATGCTGCCTGGGGCTCAGCATGTCTGTTCATGGCGGCATTTCCCCATTTCTTTGCAGTGCGTGAAGGCTTTGGTCTACTATGACGTGCACTTGTGCAGACTGGATATCGGTAACGAGAAAGGAGATACCCCCCTACACATAGCTGCACGTTGGGGTTACCAGGGCATCATAGAGACGTTGCTTCAAAATGGAGCGTCTACAGAGATCCAGAACAGACTGAAAGAAACGCCACTCAAGTGTGCATTAAACTCCAAGGTAGCGTTTTTCCTCTCTGGGCAGCATATGACTTTAAAAAAAAAATCAATGTCCATAGATTAGGTCTTTGCCTTGCTGGACCCATGGTGCATTAGTGCCTGAGGACAGAGCTTGGCCTGCACCCTCTTTGCTGCATTTAGGACCTAGCTGTTAACGGGCTTTACTAATTTATATTATTTTCGGTTTTACTAGCAGTGTTTGTCAGCAGTGTTCCTAGAGCAGCTTCCAGTCTCTGGCTGTGCCGTCGATTTATCAGCAGATGGAGTGGGTGCGAACCGGCCAAGGGCTCTGAACCGGAACAGCCGGCACGGGGAGGGGGGAAGGCACACAGCAAGTGCTGGGGCTCTGTTTTCCTGGGACTCCATCCCCAGCTCCTAGGAACCTTTTCTTACTTGGCCGCTTTTGAACATCACCGAGTATATTTTCTTTCACAAGTGATTTGTTAATGAATTTAGTTAATTCACTCTTTCCTGGTAGTAGTTTCTGGAAAGGTGTAGTTTTTGGCAACATGTAGAGAAAGTAGTCACCTCTTACGAGTGGGTGGGGAGTGGGGCGGCTTATCGAGACCAGGTCTTGGTGCCCTGGTCTCCCGGCAGCAGCGCTGGCTGACGGGACGCCATAGAGAAGCGTGCTGGGCAGGCTAGCCAGGGGAGGAGTAGGGCCACTGTGAAGTGGAAGCCTGCGTGGCCATCAGACTGATGCCTCCAGAACATCAGCAAGGTGCGTGCACAAGTGATTCCGCTCTCACGCAAGCATCCAGTCGTCTCACTTCGCGCAGGCCCTCTTGGTATTTTACCGGCTCCCTTTACAATTTCCAGCTCTCTGCTAGGGACTCGTTTCAGTTAGTTTGTATCTTTTTCCGGGAGTGGCACAGTTTTTAAACCCCTGCTCCTGACTCCAGGGGAGGTGTCAGCTCTGCTGCTCGGATGCTCACAAGGCCTTTGCTTTGTAGCAGCGACGTCTGCCTGGGACTGACTGGCGCTGCCCTTGGCCCAAGAGGCTGAGATGCCCCTGGGGGAGGGCTCCTTTGCCCCTCTAGCCTCCACAACCGGCCCTTCCCAGAGGAGAGGAGGAAGCTGCCTTCTTGGCTCAGCTCTGTGCTCCTGCCGCGTGAGACCTGTGGGTGCCAGGGCACAGGTTTCACTTTATGCTTGTGCACAGAGGGTCTGGGAGCTGGCTGCCTGAGGTAGCCTTTGAGGCCCTTTCTGTGCCTGGGCTGCTCTTACCCTCTGAGCCTATTCACGGGGAGTGCTAGCTCTCCCTGCTCGGCCATGGTGTGATGGAGGAAGCCCACACATGGGTTTGTGTGGTCTTGCTTATGTTCCCACCCGCCCGGGGCTTTGCTTTCTGGGTGTATCTAGGTGTGGCTGGGCTGCGTCATCTGAGACTCGGCTGTGCTGACATTCCAAGGTGACAGGCAAGCCGTGGGGCACTGTGGGTGATGATACTTGGTTGCTGCCCATTCATTTCAGCAGTTGTCATATCCTTGTTATCCTCCCAGATTCTGTCCATAATGGAAGCTGGTCATCTAGCCTTTGAAAGGAGGCAGAAGTCTTCTGAGGTAAACGAATGGGGCTGTGCTGGCTGGTTATATATGAGGCCGGGGGCCTCCTTTCTGGCCCTTGTGTGTCTTTGTGCCCATGTCTTCTCTGGTCTGGATGCTGTCACTGCAGATCCCTGCTCAGTCCCCTCAGCGCTCTGTGGATTCCATCAGCCAGCGGTCCTCCACTTCCAGCTTCTCCTCCGTGTCAGTGAGCTCTAGGCAAGAGGAGGCCAAGAAGGACTACAGAGAGGTGAGGCTCCTGGTGGGAGCGCGAGGACGCGGTGGCCGTGGTGATACGGCGGCCAGTTAAAGAGCCCTACAGCCTGGCAGGTGCTGTTCATTCAGCCTGCTCGCCCGTTACTGCGAAGCCACGTCTCTGCTGGGGTGGCTCATCAGTGCCCTCAAGATGAGCCTGGGCAGTTCTCACACTGCTGGTCACCAGCTTGTCCTTCTACAGTCTGCTCCCTAAGCTGCTCTTTGCTTTGTGGATAGAGAGTGTGTGTGTGTGTGAGAGAGAGAGAAGAGAGAATATTCTAAGAAATACACAAATAAAGTCACCTGTAGGTTCACTGAATTATTCTTTCGTGAAGTAAGAAATTCTCTGCCTTCTATCTCCCACCTCCGTAAGTACCTCCGGCTAACAACTTGAGGTGCATCATTCCGGACCTCTTCAGTTTATGTAGCCACTTACATCCTGTGCGACAGCTTACTTATGATTTATACCTTGTTTTGTTTTTCACTTATCGTAGAGCTTGTTTGATGACAGCACATGTAGTTCTGCCTCATTGTGTAGCTGAATAGCAGACCACTGTATGGGTGTACCACAGCTGGCTCCACTGTTCCCCTGTGGGTGGGGAGCCCTCACTGACTCTGCCCTAGTCTCCCTCCTTCCCACAGCCCCCAGCTCAAGGCAAAGCCACAGCAAAGAAAGCCAAGAGGTACGCTCTAGAGTCTAACAGAAGACTTGAGATCTTGAGGAGGAGCGTCCACCTCTGTGGCACCATCAACCAATGGATGAAGAAAGCTGAGCATATGTGGTACTAGATCAGAGGGTGGCTGACCTCTTAGGAAGCACCTGTGCTTCAGGGTGACCATTGTCTCACCTTTCCACATAAACAGCTATTGGATTTTTAGACCTTAAACGGTAATGTGTTCTGTACACACTAGCGACTTGCCAGGACGTCCTGTCTGAGCGGTTTTAGGGATATGTTTGTGAGGTACTAAATGAGATGTTAAAATTCCACAAAGGAAGAGACAAATGAAAGCCACTGCGTCTTCAGAGTGCCGTTTCTGTTATTTCTGTTGTCATACTATTGTTAAAATCAGCTTCCTAACATTCTTCTTCCTTTTATTAAGGTAGAAAAACTTTTAAGAGCCGTTGCTGATGGAGATCTAGAAATGGTGAGTTTTTACATGGGCGTCTTAAAAAGCTTGCTCTGGGTTCAAACAGCCACGTGTCGCTCTTGTTTCTTGTCTCTAAGTCGCTCATGAACTGTGCGGACTCTCCGTTCTGGTTCCCACAGAAGGTGGTGCATCTCATGAAGAGCTGGTAATGCCAGTGTTGTGTTTTCCCCTCAGGTAATGAGGCGGATGGACACAAAGCCACATAGGAAGCGTGTTCCCTGCCTCTTAGACGTTCATATTTCAGGAGGGCGGTGAGATGTGGCAGACCAGCCCGTGTCCAGGCACAGAGTGGGGCCCTGAGCCTGGGCTCACTAGCCAGGGGAGAGGTGAACAGCCTGGTTGTAAGGAGAGAACAGGGTTGGGTGGAGTGGGTGAGGTGGTTGAGGTGATGGTAGAGCCAGGAGGGAGGAGGGTGTGTGTGGCTCTGCAGAAGCGTCGAGGGCTGCAGCTCCTGGATGAGATGGTGCTGGCTGCTCTGGGTAGGCACCTGGAGAGGATGTCAGGCTTGAGGCAAGCTGTCTGCGTTGTCCTCGCTGTGAGGGCACATCTCGTGAGGTCACTGGACAGCAGAGACAGGTGTCATTAGAGCTCCCCAGCAGTGCCCCCGGCTTGCCTTTGGCTTTCTGGGTGGAATGTGTTACATCTTCTACTTTGAAGGAAGGAGTGGATTTGTTGCTTACCAAACTTCTTCTTAGTGCTGTGGGGTGGAATTCTGACTCATGATGACCATAAATGTGCAGAGTAGAACTGCTCCACAGGGTTTTCAAGGCTGTGACCTTTCGGAAGTAGATCGCCAGTCTTTACTTCCAAGGTGCCTCTGGGTGGGTTTGAACCTCCCACTATTCAGTTAGTATTAACCATTTGTTCCACCTAGAGACTTCTGCCAAATCAGGGGCTCTGAATAAATCACATTGCAGGAGAGCTTTACAAGGATGCATATTTCAGGAGTGCTTTTCAGTGATGATCGAGTTGGAGGTGGTGGACAGAAATGACTGGCATCTGAGTATAGCAGCCTCTGGGATATTAAGGATCTGAATGTAGTCTTTGATGTTAGCCTTTGCCCAGAGCCAGCTATTGGTCTGTCAGCACAGCACACAGTTACGCTGGGGCTACAGGACTGTCTGTACCTGGCTGACGCTGAGGCCTGGAGGCAGCGGCTGAAGACCATCGCCAGGAGAACCCTGGGGATTCTTTAGCACCCTGAGAACCATGGTGTCAGCAGTCTGTGTGGAAAACAGATTGTGACTGTCTCTGTGTCACGCCACCTCTGCTCATCTTCCTGCTGGGGTGGGGGAGGAGGGGTGAGGCCACTCGTGAAGGAGGTGAGGGAGACTTAACGCTCCAGGGCCCTGAGGTCACCATCCAAACTCATCCACACACGCCACAGTCAACCCCTCCCTGAGGCACCTGCCCCTCAGTTCTTGCTCCCCTCTTCTCATGAAGAGGGGCTGCCCTTCGTCTGACCCTGCCGGTCTGTTAGGTCAGGCCCTGCATGGAGGCCTTGGGTGTTGTCCACCTTCAGGAGAGTCTGCTGACAGGGATGGGGAAGGGACCTGGAGGGGAGACTTTTCGGGGCAGAAGGGGTCTTCCTGGAACCTTTTGTCACTCCTTGCAGGCGTATGCTTGCTTCATCAGTGCCTGGAACCAGACCTAGAAATACATTTACATGGTTTTCTTTTTTCAAATTTATTGTTCTAAAAGCTAGATTTTGGAACATATTCTGTGTTACCAGAACAGGAACTTGACCTCTTTGGGGGTCGTTTAATGCTTTTGCCGATGGGCCAGCATGAAAGACCACTGGTGTGGAGCCGGGGTTCCCACCACTGCTTGTTATTTGTGTGCCCTTGAACACATTCACTTCTCTGATCCCTTTCTCTTAGGAAGGAGGGAGGGGTCTGGCGCTGCCTCACAGGTTGTTGGAAGCATCCGATTAGATAATGCAAGAGAAGGTGCCCCAGGGGCCAGGGTTTTAAAGCGGTCTGTCACCGTGAAGCAGCATCAGTCCTGAAGCAGCATCAGTCCGCCTCTTGATAAGACAGTAGAAAAGAATGTCTAGCACCAGTTGCAGAAATGGTAGCTTAATCTTTCTATGTCAGCACTGAAAGGATTTAGAAAGGCTTGGGCTCAGGTGAACCCCTGGACTCTTCCCAGGACTCTTCTACATTTTACTAGATGCTACATGGATCTTCTACATTCTACTCATTCTACATGGACCTTCTGTTGTGTCCATGGTCACTCTTCCCAGGGAGCAGAAGCCATTTGCAAATTACTTTGATGGCTGAGGAAGTGTAGGTCCTGGTTTGGGAACAGTGGACTGAACGTGTGTGTGTTTAAGATACTGTAGCTGGGAAAGGAGCTAAGAATGTGTTCCAAGTTCCGTTTCTCTTTGCCATCCAACACCAGGTGCGCTACCTTCTGGAGTGGACAGAGGACGAGCTGGATGAAGTGGAGGACGCTGCTGGTGCCGTGGGTCTTGAATTTTGCCATCCCTTGTGCCAGTGCCCCAAATGTGCTCCAGCCCAAAAGGTTTGGCTCGGCTTCTGTCAGGAGGGGCACAGGGAAGTTCTTCTTTCTCCCTCTTACGAAGGGTCTCTGCTTCTCAGCCAGATAATTGATGAGTGGCTGGTAGAGGTATCCCCTAGATATGATGGGGGTTAATTAGCTTGGGGGGAAAGAAGCTGATGCTCTGTGGGATCTGGCTTGGGCTGCCTGCTTTCTGAAGCGGTAGTGTTTGAACTGCTCTACTGCTGTCTGGGCCGCCCAGTCATATGGCAGGCGTTTATGAACAGACTTACCTGCTGCAGGTCCCAGAGAGGCCTGTTACATCGCTGCTGCCTTTGCTCATGTTGGTATGCCCCTCTGTGGGAGGGCTCCGGGTACAGAGAGGTCCCTCTGCCAGTTTCCTCAGTGGTAACATCTTGTAAAACTGTGGTACAATGATGTTGACTTGGATGGAATCCGTCGATCTTATTCACATTTCCTCAGTTTTACTTGCACTCTTTTAAACCTTTTATTGGGTTTTACACAGCAAATCAGTTTCCCATTCAACAATTGATACATAAATTGTTCTGCGACATTGATAACTATCCCCACAATGTGTCAGCACTCTCCCCATTTCCACCCTGCCTTCCCCGTTTCCATGCCTCCAGTTTCCCTGCCCCTCCTTGCCTGCTCATCTTTGCTTTGGGGGAGATGTTGCCCATTTGGTCTTGTATGTTTGATTGTTCTAAGAAGCAGATTCCTCGCGGGTGTGATTGTTTGTTTGATAGGTTTGTTTATTGTTTGGCTGAAAGGTGACTTCCAGGAGTAGCTTCAGTTCCAGGTTAAAAGGGTGTCTTAGGGCTGTAGTCTTGGGGGTTCCTTCAGTCTCTCAGTCCAGTAAGTCTGGTCTTTTTTATGAATTTGAGTTCTGTTCTACATTTTTCTCCCATTCTAATGGGGACCTTCTACTGTGTCCATGGTCAGAATGGTCAGTAGTGGTAGCAAGACACCATCTAGTTCTTCTGGTCTCAGGCTGGAGGAGGCTGTGGTTTGTGTGGGCCATTAGTCCTGTGGATTAATTGCCTCCTTGAATCTTTGGTTTCATTCGCTCTCCTTTGCTCCAGATGGGAGGAGACCAATAGTTGTATCTTAGATGGCCACCCCAGACACTACTTACCAAACTAGGATGTGGAACATTATCTTTACGAGCTATGTAATGGCAGTTGACCTAGATGTCCCCCAAGACTATGGTCCTTAGCCTTCAAGCCCAGTAACTCAGTCCCATGAAGTGTTGGGATTTGTCTAGGAAGTTTCCATGACTGTGCCCCCTATGTGCTGTATTATATATGTGAGTATATATGCAGCACATACAAATTACATATATACAAATGCCCACAACTATACTTCTGTATGCACATATGCATGCGCATGTACTTCCATGCACCCTCCCACACCCATATAGCACACATATCTACCTGTGTAACCACTCACAAATTGTTGGTTGTTATTACTGTTGTTGCAGAATTATATATGTTATATAGCGTTTACCGTAGTTGTCCTTTATTCTTATGTATTTCTCACTGCCTTTATTTACCTTGGTCACGTGCTGACTTCCTCCATGTTGTGAATTGCCTTTTCCTTCACCAGAATTAACATGTGTCTATTATCAGTAAGTGATTTCTCCCTCCCTCCAGCTCCCATCCCTGGTAACCATCAAAGAATGTTGCTTTCTGTATTTAACCCTATTCTGTACTTTTTATAAAAGTGGTATACGATATTTGTCCTTTTGTGATTGATTTATTCCATTCAGGATAATGTCCTCTAGATTCATCCATGTTATAAGATGTTTCATGGACTCGTCTTATTTATCACCGCATATCATTCCATTGTATGTGTGTACCACGTTTTGTTTAGCCATTCATCTGTTGTTGGGCACTTAGGTGGTTTCCGTCCTCTTGCTGTTGTGAATAATGCTGCAGTGAATGTGGGCGCGCAGATGTCTGTTCGTGTCGCTGCTCTTATTTTTCTAGGATATGTATCTAGGAGTGGAATTGCTAGATCATATGATACTTCTATTTCTAGCTTTTTGAGAAAGCATCATAGCTTTTTCCATAGTGGTTGTACTGTTTTACAGTCCCACCAGCAGTGTGTAAGAGTTCCAGTCTCCCCACAACCTCGCTAGCATTTGTTTTGTTTTTTTGATCAGTGTCATTTGTGCAGGGGTGAGATGATATCTCATTGTAGTTTTGATTTGCTTCTCCCTAATGGTTAATCATTGCGAGCATCTCTTCATGTGTTTGTTAGCTGCCTGAATGTCTTCTTTGGTGAAGTGCCTGCTCATGTCTTTGCCCATCTTTTGATTGGATTGTTTATCTTTTTGTTGTTAAGGTGTTGAAGTTTTCTATGTATTTTGGAGATTAGACCTTTGTCAGATAAGTCGTTATCAAAACTTTTTTCACAGTCCGTAGGCTCTTTTTACTCTTTTGGTAAAAGTCTTTTGATGAGCATAAGTAGTTAATTTTTAGGAGATCCCAGTTATCTAGTCTGTCTTCTTTTGTTTGTGCATTTTTAGTTATGCTTAATAGTACATTATGCCTAGATTAGGGTCCCTAGCTTTGTTCCTACGTTATCTTCTAGGAACTTTATAGTTTTAGGTTTAATATTTAGGTATTTGATCCATTTTGAGTTGGTTTTCATGTACGGTGTGAGGTATGGATCCTGTTTCATTTTTTAACAAATGAATATCCAGTTTTCCAGCACCGTTTGTTAAAGAGACTGTCTGTTCTCCATTGAATGGACTTCAACCCTTTGTTGAAGGTCAGGTGTCCACAGCCTGTAGCCCATTGCCATCGAGTCAGTTCTGACTCATAGCGACTTTATGGGACAGAGTAGAACTGCCCCATAGGGTTTCCAAGAAGTGGCTGGTGGATCTGAGTTGCTGACCTTTTGGTCAGCAGCTGAGCTCTTAACCACTGCCCCACTGCACCACCACGGCTTCAGCTGTCCATAGCTAGATGGATTTACTTCTGCGTTCTCAATTCTGTTCCATTGGTCTATATGTCTGTTGTACCAGTACCAGGCTGCTCTGACTGCTGTGGCTGTATAGTCAGTTCTGAGATCGGGAGGTGTGAAGCCTCTGCTTTGTTGTTCTTCTTCAGTAATGCTTTAGCTATTTGGGGCCTCTTTCCTTTCCATATAAAGCTGGAATTAGTTTTTTCATTTCATTAAAGAATGTTGTTGGGATTTGAATCAGGATTGCATTACATCTGTAGATTGCTGTGGTTAGTATTGACGTTTTCACAAGGTTAAGTCTTGCAGTCCATGAGCATGATATGTTTTTCCATTTACATAGGTCTCTTTTGGTTTCTTGCAGTAGTGTTTGGTAGTTTTCCTTGTATAAGTCTTTTATGTCCCTGGTTAGATTTATTCCTAGATATTTTATCCTTTTGGGAGCTATGGTAAATGGTATCGTTGTATTTATTTTGTTTTTGGAGTTCTCCTTGTTAGTGGAGAGGAATCCAACTGATTTTTGTATGTTGATCTCATACTCTGCCACTTTGCTGAATCCTTCTATTAGTTCCAGTAACTTTCTTATGGAAACTCTGGGGTTTTCTATGTATAGAATCATGTCATTTGTGAATAGGGACAGTTTTACTTCTTCCTTACCAATTTGGATGCCCTTTATTTCCCTTTCCTGTCTTACTGCTCTGGCGAGGACTTACAGTACAAGATTGAATAAGAGTGGTAATAATGGGTATCTTTGTCTCATTCTTGTTCTCAACTTCTCTCTGTTGAGAATAATGTTGGCTGTTGGTTTTGTATATATGCTTTCAATTATTGTTGACGAATTTCCCTTCTGTTTTTCTGAGAGTTTTTAATCAGGAAAGGATGTTGGATTTTATCAAATGCCTTTTCTGCATTGATTGAGATGATCATGTGATTCTTTTCTTTGTTTTATTTATGTGGTGAATTCTGTTGATTGGTTTTCTAATTTTGAACCACCCTCGCATCTCTGGTATGAATCCCACCTGATTGTGATGTATTATTTTTTTGATATGCTGTTGAATTCTCTTGGCTAGAATTTTATTGAGAATTTTTATGTCTATATTCATGAGGAATGTTGGTCCGTAATTGGGTTTGGAATTGGGAATGCTGGCTTCAGAGAATGAATCGGGGAATATTCATTTCTTTGGTAGCATAGTGGTTAAGAGCTACAGCTGCTGACCAAAAGGTCAGCGGTTCGAAGCCACCAGGTGCTCCTTGGAAACCCTATGGGGCAGTTCTACTCTGTCCTGTAGGGTCGCTATGAGTCGGAATTGACTCGACTTGATGGCAGTAGGTTTGGCTTTTTTGTTTTTTTCTGTGTTCTGGAATAGTTTGAGTAGAACTGGTGCCAACTCTTCTCTGAATGTTTGGTAGAACTCTCCGGTGAAGCCATCCGTCTTAAAAAGGCCATGCTGTGCCGTGCCGGCTAGTAGGTCACCTACAGTCTGTAGGTCTCCTCACTGGCTATTTTCATTCAGTTTCTCCTTCCCTTCAGTGTTTGATCTAATTCTTCATCCTTCCATTTGCTGTTTTGGGTTCCCAGATGGTCATCTCTATGTGTTCCGCTTGGTTTCTTGGTTCCTCCTGTAGGGGGATGGCGTGGTGTGTGCTAACTAAGCTGCATTCTTGGGCTGTTTACACTTGTACTCACTTGTGTGTGTGTATTTAGTTTTATACAATTCTATCATGTGTAGTTTGTGTATCTACCACCACATTCAAGATAACAGACCAGTTCTATGACCACAAGAGTTAAAAATCACTCAGGTTGCCCTTTTAAAACCATACCCATCTCTCTTCTCTTCATCCCTACTTATGCCCGCCTTATCCCTAACCCTTAGCAATCACTAATCAGTTCTCCATGTCTATAATTTTTTCATTTCAAAAGTGTTATGCAAATTTAATGATACAGCATAATCTTTTTGGATTGGCTTTTTTCACTCAGCATGATTCCAAGTTACATGTAACCAGTAGTTCATTCCTTTAGTGCTCAGTAGTCATGGTATATATATACTACAGTTTAACCATTCACCTGTTGAAGGACATGAGTTGTTTCTGGTTTGGGAATATTACTGATAAAGTTGCTGTGAACATTCGTGTACGTATATATTTTTTGAGAACATAAGTTTTCATTTCTCTAGGATAAATGTCCAAGCGTGCAATTGCTGGGTCATATGGTAATTGTATAATTAATTTTACAAGAAACTTCCAAACTGTTTCTCAGAGTGGCTGTACCACTTTACATTTAAAATGTTTATAAAGTCCAGTTTATAAACTTTTCTTTTGTGGTTTATGCTTTTTGTATCTTATTTAAGAAATCTTTGCTTACCCCAGTGTTGCAAAGAATTCCTTCTGTTTCCTTCAAGACATTTTATAGTTGTAGCTTTTACATTCAAGTGTGGTGCATTTGCGTTAGTTTTTGTCTTTGATGTGAGATGAGGGCTGATGTGCAGTGTTTTTTCCATATACAGATAGCCAGTGGTTCTAGCACCATTTGTTGAACAGACTTTCCTTTCACCATTGAATTGTCTTGGCTTAATATATCATTTTAGGAGGCATGCTTTATTAAACACAGGATACTAAATGGTGAGAAGGGGAGTTAACTTTTTTGTATATCATATCTTTCTAAGATAATAGAGATTCACCTGTGGGCAGTCTGATTCTGGATCCCATTGTGATCCTAAGTTTTGCATAGGGGATGTGAGGGTGGATGGCGTCAATGCCCTCAGCCCCATATACTTAAGTACTAATGGCATTTCTGTTTCCATCTTCTGCATTTCCTAGAAGCTGTTCAAGATTCCTGCCAATGGGCTTGGTGTGAATGTGACCAACCAGGAGGGCTCCTCTCCACTGCATGTTGCTGCTCTGCATGGTCGGGCTGACCTCATTCCCCTCCTGTTGAAGCATGGTGCCAATGTGGGGGCCAGAAACGCAGACCAGGCTGTCCCACTCCACCTTGCCTGCCAGAAGGGCCACTTTCAGGTACGGGTTCTGTCTCTGGGCAGAGTGTAGTAGGTGCTTGGTTTGGTTAGACCTTCTCTTGGTGGGGATGCTGCACAGGGCCGAGGGTTTGGTGGCTAGCCACAGGAGCAGCCCCGATATGCACATGGTGGGCCGCTCAGCAGCACACACACAGCTCGGTGGTGCTCCCTGGGGAGCCAGCTCCACACGCACTGCCGTTTACCTCTGGGTGCAGAGAGCTGTCATTCTGACTGTGACCCCGGCAGGAGCTGTCCCTGGTGTTTGGTCATTGAGGGCTCTACCCATGGTCATCTTGCTAGCTTTACATTCCCACAGCCTGGGCTGTGCCAGGCAGTTTAGTGCTTCATAAAGTACAGCCCTGGACCTGTAGAAGGAGGTCAGGAGCCTGTGCACGAATTGACTTTTTTAAAGTCCTGTTTTTCTTTTTGAAACTTAGACACACACACAATTTTTTTTTTAATCTTCCTTTTTCAGTTCTACTATAAGGTTTTTTAAAGATATGGACCGTATTTCAGGTCTTCTTCTACCTCTCCCATTGTATCCAGCACAGTGCTTCAAGCATCATTTTCTAACCTGTAAAACTGGAGTAGCAATTCCAGGTGAAATGAGAAAACTAGTGCCTAGCACACTGCCTGGCACACAGTAGGTCCTCTGCAGATGTTAATCCCTAATCCCCTTCCGTTGGTCGACTTTCTTCTGAGGGTTAGACGTGTCTGAAGAGCCTTAGAGAAAAGTCAGAAGAGTATTGTGTTAGAGGATTTCTCAAACCCTGCAAATTATAATTAAGGTTGAAAACTTTTCTCTTCTGGGCTAGGTGGTGAAGTATCTATTAGATTCTAATGCAAAACCCAATAAAAAGGATATAAGTGGAAATACACCCCTCATTTATGCCTGTTCCAGTGGACATCACGAAGTCGCCACGCTGTTGCTACAGGTGAGTAAGAGCCCTCGCCGTCTAGGAGCCATCTGAGAGTGTGGCCCTGGTCATAACGGCATAACCTCAGGGACTTTCATGCATGATCTCACGCTCCAGCCTGCGCTCATGATGGCAGAGGATAGGCCTCCCGCCCCTTGCCCTCAGCAGGCCCACCCGCATTTCCACGTACGGTTCTGTGATGGGAGATCAGGTCTCGAGGTCTGTGCTTCATCAGGATCAGAGTTAGGGTCTTAGGCTCTGCTGAGGCTGAAGGTGAGAATCTCACCTCATTACTGTAAGTTGAATTGTTACCTGAAGTGTGAGCTTAATGCCCTTCTGTGTCACTGCTACTCTTTTTCTTCTTTTTTTTGTGGTGAAATATATATGTAACAAACATTTCAGCCATTTTTACACGTACATTCAGTGACATTGATTGTATTCACTGTGCTGTGCAATAATCACCGCAGTCTGTCTCCCGATTTTTTCATGGCCCTTAACAAAAACTCTGTACCCCTCATGCAGCATCTCTTTTTCCGCTCTTGATAATGGTTATGCGTGTTGATCGTAAGAGAAAGAACTTAAAGCAGCAGGGGGAAAACCAACTTGCCAATAATCCTGCTACTCAGAGGCAGTTAATTTTGGTAGACTTTTAAAAACGTGTACAGTTTAGATTAGTATTGTTTTCTCTCTTGCTTTTTTCCATTTAGCATAGGAAATCGTTTATTAAAACCTTGGTTTTTAACGGTTGCATAACCGTGAATGTCCTGTAGTTTTTGGTTTTGTTTTCTTTTTTAACTGACTGTGCTCTGTATATTTAAGTAGCTTCTATTTGTGGCGCAGTGGTTAACAGCTTGGCCGCTAACCAAAAGGTCGGCAGTTTGAATCCACCAGCCACTCCTTGGAAACCCTATGGGGCAGTTCTACTGTGTCCTATAGGGACGCTATAAGTCGGAATCGACTTGACGGCAGTGGGTTTTATTTTATGATAAATGCTGCAGTTGTCTTTGTACATAAATCTTTTTCTCAATATTACTTTTACCCCTAACATTTTATTATGACAACTTTCAGACACGCAGAAAAGTTGAATTTGAAGGTAAACCACCCGTATGCCCGCCACCTAGATTCTACATGAACGTTTTTAGCATTGCTTTGACGGTACCGTTCCTCTTTCTAGCGTGGAGCCTCCATTAACGCCTCTAACAGCAAGGGCAACACAGCACTGCACGAGGCTGTGATAGAAAAGCACGTCTTTGTGGTAGAGCTGCTTCTGCTTCATGGAGCGTCGGTTCGTGTCTTGAACAAGAGGCAGTGCACAGCTATAGACTGTGCTGAGCAGGTGAGTGGAGGGAGCTCAAGAGCTGAGAGAATCCCAGGCTCCTGTACAGCTCACTCTTGAGCCCTTGCATTTAAAGCAGATCTGGGATGGTAGTAGCCAGATCTTTGAATCACTGGGCCAGACTGAGTTGGCAGGGTGTGCCAGAAAGCCTACCAGTGTGGTTAAATACCTGGCCCTTTGTCTCCTGACCAGAGGCAGCACACGCGGGGAGCCAGGAATCATTCTTCAGGGGTAGTTTTGAAAGGCGCGAGAGGAGGTGCCCCCCGACCAGCTGCAGGCGGAGGCGCCTCGCTCTGGCACATCTTACCTGCAGCCAGGTAGTGGAGGGGATAGAGTTTGGTTTCAGGGGAGGTAGCAAGTTAGAACATTGTCCTGGTTTCACCCTGCCTGCAGTGTGAATACACCTGGTGCCTTAGTAGCATGATAGAGAATGTTTGTGTAGTTTGTGGATTTAAAACTCCTTGAGTTCTGTAAGGGGAATTGTAATTACTAATTTACCACTCTCCGGTTCTGTGGATGTTTGCCATGGAGAAATGGGGAGGAAAAAGTGCTTTTCTGGCCCTGTTTCATGCTGAACCTTTATCTGTCTGGCTTTCTATTTGGGGATAAACAACCAGTAGGTTGTTAAATGACACACTTAACAAACCAAACCCCTTGCCATCGAGTCCATTCCGACTCATAGCGACCCTATAGGACAGAGTAGAACTGCCCCATAGAGTTTCCAGGGAGCGCCTGGTGGATTCAAACTGCCCACCTTTTGGTTAGCAGCCGTAGCTGTTAACCACTACGCCACCAGGGTTTCTAAACCAAACCTGCTGCCATTGAGTTTGTTCTAACCCACGTTCACCATAAATCCTGCCTTCTCATAGGCTGATTGTAGTAACTTTTAATTGTCAGTGACATTTCTTAACAGAATAGAAATATTTTAAACTTTCAGTTTAGTACTTCCTCAAATGATGATGATGATGATGATGGATGTTTTTTATTGAGCGCTTACTAAGTGCTAGGCCCTGTTCTGGGGTCCCTGGTGGTATAGGCAGTTAACATGCTCAGCTGCTGACTGAAAGGTTGGCAGTTCAAGTCCACTCAGAGGCATCTCAGAAGAAAGCCTGACAATCTACTTCTGAAAAATCAGTCATTGAAAACCTCATGGAGCCCATTTCTGCTCTGACACACACGGGGGTTGCTGTGAGTCGGTGTCAACTCAATGGCAACTGGTAGACCTTGTTGGGTTTCGCTTGCTTTAACTCACCCAGTTCTCTTGATAACTGTACAATAATAGGTCATATTATCGTCAGACCTGCTGCACAGAGCAGGTGAATACCTGGCCCAGAGTATCTAGTAGAGGTCAGATCCAGGCTCCAAGTGCAGGCCGACTGGCCTCAGAGGGCTGCTCTTAACCACTGGGCTTTATGACTTCAAAGGTTTGTCTGCAGTTGCCTGTGAGCATTTCTGCCTAACCACACCAGTGCTAACATTTAGATTGAAAGCAAGCAATCACCTGCTAAGAGATAATAAAAAATAATTGCTGTTACCTTTTCCTTCCCAAATTGTAGAATTCGAAAATAATGGAATTACTTCAGGTAATACCAAGCTGTGTTGCCACATTAGATGATGTTGATGAAATGGACAACAAGGACTACATTACTGTTAAGATCAGGAAAAAATGTAAGAGCTTACTTACATTCTTTCCGTAACTCTCCGCGTGAGTTTATTTGGAAATCCACGGGTAGTGGCTGGCTTGTATAAAATGTAATTATAATCACGACGGGGTGGGATCAGGCACCAAAGACATGTACGTTACATCCTGAATTACCAGATGAGAGGTGAGCTTTTGTTGATACTGGTTTTCTGGTTGATTGTAATGATGCTTCCTAAGGACGTGAGATAGAAACTCTCAGCGTCCCTTGAACTCTCAGCGTTGCCCTGAAGGAGCAGGCCTCTACTTACCAATGGGAGAGCAGAGGCAACCTCTGTAGGATCTTTATGCTTCATGTTCCAAAGCCAGGTGTTCTTCTGAGCATTTCCTAGACATCCGGGGTAAATGCTACCTTTCCAACTTTTTTTTTAAAAATAGTTTTTGCAGGTGTGCATAAGTTGGTAGTAAGCAGTTGTCATACAGGGGAAGGGACTGAAGTCTTTTTTTTCCTTAAGTTATTCTAGTTTAGAAGGGGTTCTTGTTCTGCTTTTTTTAAAAAAAAAAAAAATTACAGTGTGGGTTTGCAGTGCCAGAATCTGCATAAATTGATCCACACACCGGGGTCCGTCTACGGCAGTCACCGTAATTGGCTGTGGCTGGAGAACATCAGTGTATTGAGGATTCATCCTTCCTTTTGGGGGAGTGCACACGGTAATAAATAGGTAGCTTCTAATATAGTTCTTTAAGCTAATTCAGTGCTTAATTTTCTTAAACTAAGAAAGTGGAAGATTGTATCTATGCTAACATTTTAAAACAATCTTTAACACTATTTCTGAAGTATTGAGAAGTTTATCCTTTTATCTACAGGGAACTCAAAAATGTGTGATTTACCAGATGAACCTTTTACAAGACAGTTTCACTTTGTCCGTCCAGCTGGCCAGTTTAAGTAAGTATAAAATTCAAGTTGATTTCTGCGCTTTTGACCCTATAGTTTACTCACAACTGAAATAGGATAGTCAAATTTGCACTGGTGTCATCAAATGCTGCCACCCTGTGGCCAGTGAGAGTCTTTCATTCCACTGTCCCAAACGTGGAGCCCTGGTGACTTTGTGGTTAAGTGCTACGGCTGCTAACCGAAAGGTCTGCCATTGGAATTCACCAGCAGCTCCTTGGAAACCCTGGGGGGCACTTCTGCTCTGCCCTACAGTGTCGCTATGAGTTGGAATCAACTCGATGGCAGTCGGTTTTTTTTTTTTTAAATCCCAAATGTTTAGGGAGCGCTCGTGGTGCAGTGGTTAAGTGCTCACCTGTTAACTGAAAGGTTGTTGGTTCGAACCCACCAGCTGCTCCTTAGGAGAAAGATGTGGCAGTCTGTTTCTGTAAAGATTTACAACCTTAGAAACTGTATGGCGCAGTTCTGCTCTGTCCTATAGAGTCGCTATCAGTCGGAATCGACTCGACAGCAGTGGGTTTTGTTTCTTTGATTATCCCAAATGTTTATTTGGGTTTCAGGGGAAAGACTTCAAGGGAGATTATGGCAAGAGATAGAAGTGTCCCTATTTTTACTGAAGACTCGATTAAACACTGCCTTGTAGTCATTGTTTATAAAATCTGGCTTTTAAAGTAATGCATAGTGAACACTTAATAGTCTTCATTTTATTATTCCCTTCAGTGTAAGAATAACAGTTAAAAGTGGAATTCTTTAGTGGGATGGTCAAGATTACAGACTTCTTTGTTATATTTAAAAATAACATTTCTGAGCTGAGAAAAGAAAGGGGAAAGTGGAAAATAGTTGTATGCATGGTAACAGCAGTTCATGGTGTGTATAGTAGGTGAAATAGCTCAAATTTAGCAGCCGTAGCACTTAACCACTGTGCCACCAGGGTTTCCCAAATTTCACTATCTAAGCAACTTTACTAATGTTTTAATCACTAATATAGGAGGAAAACAGTAGTTTGCATGTAGATTGATAACAACCTTCTCCAGATATAAAGTTGCTCATAGAGACAGTTCTGTATGTGGCCATCTCCTGCAGCACTACTTAATCTCTCAGTTACGAAATGAAGCCTGCTTTAGGAACGATGGTGCTGTAAATAAGGACACTCTTCACAGAAGGAGCCCTGGTGGTGGTAAGAGCTGGCTCCTAACCAAGAGGTCGGCAGTTCGAATCCACCAGCCCCTCCTTGGAAACCCTGTGGGCAGTTCTACTCTGTCCTGTAGGGTGGCTGTGAGGTGAAATCGACTCGACCGCAGTGGGTTTCGTCACAGAAACATGACTTTTCTTACTGGTGCTTCTCAATACACCTACTTCTCACTTATCCGACATTTCACATTTACGATAACAGTAGAAAATCAGTTAGACTATTTTGGGCATTAACGAGGAGCCGAGGCAGAGGGGGAGGAGGAGGAAGAGAGTGACGTTTCTGAGAAGCAGCGAGGCTGGTAGGGATGCCAGAGAGATTCCTCTGTACCTGGGTTGGGCGGAGGGGCCGGGCTAGGCCTGTGGTGAGCGCGGGGCGGGG